CTAACTGCGCGCGGCAAGGCTAACTGCGCGCGGCAAACCTAACTGCACGCAGCGAGGCTAACTGCATGCGCCGAGGCTAACGCTGTATCCTGCATTCCCTGCCTCCTTTTTCAAACGTCTGGATCTAACCCAGGATGAATAAAGACAGCTAGGAAAAACTTTGAATCAATCTGACTGGATGATCTGGTGAACTGGAAAGTGCCCTGAGATGATGTGATGTGAATTGGCACTATAGAAATAAACTGAATAGAATTATTCTTTCAGTATCTGTTTCTATATCACAATTCGATGGGCAAATTAGTTGACAGTCATATAAATTATGATTAACCTGATGGATCGTCTCAGATTAGATTCAGAGTTTCTGGGAAATGGTAACAGAAACGGCAGCATCTGTCTGATCCAGCTAGAGGTGTTCAGATATACATGGAAGCAACATTAGAGCAAACTCTCATCTAAACTAAAAAGAAAAGGTATTTTCTTCATCCAAAATTCATAGCTTTGGCTCAAAAGGTTGAACTTCTGAAGAAGTGAGATGGAGCCGTGCCCAGATGTGTCAGGGAGGGTTGTTTTTATCACCTCAACCCAAGTGAAAAAGGCCCACCCTGCTCACACTCGTTTATGACGAACACAAGACAAATTTAGCATCAGAGGCGTAAAGTCAAAGCGCTGAACTCACGTTTCTGAGATCATCCAGGCGTTTGCCCAGGAAGCCGTTCTCTAAAATAGTAGACTGAGTTTTCCGCATGAGGTTGGACAATTGAGAGACGTCCATAGTTAAGCTGCAGCCAGCAGGACTGAGTCAAGAACAGAGAGGAGCTGCAGGGTGAGGGAGGACGGAGGATCAGGGCGCAAAACACACACAGCAGCTAAGCAGGTGTTGTTGTTGTGTCAGGCAGCGAGGCGGACCTCTCCCTCAGGGGACACTAGGAAGACTCGGGTTAAGAAAGAGATGAGAAGCCTTGAGGGAGGAGAGGACATATTAATTAGAGCCGAAAGGGAGAAGAGGGGGAAAAACAAGCGTGATGGATGCTATGTTACGACTCCATTTAAACTGTGCTGGAAAGTTAGCAACCCTCCCAGAAATTCCTCACTGCAGAACAGCTCATTAGAAGCTGCATGGATTCACTGCATCCTGTTCGGATTTCAGTGAAGAACAGAGAAACGCTCGGCCTGACTTCACCAGCTTCTGTCAGTGCATGTAGTCGAACCCGAGGCCATCAAACAGCAGCTCCCTCAGCCTGATAGCATTAGCTAGGCCTGTAATTTCTCTCTACAGCGCTGGATTCACCTCTATACCCAGGCTCAGCCAGGCTCTCACTGTCATCCTTCCTCCAGGTCAGAAGCCTGAAGCTGCAGGTCCTAAAAATGAAAGATAGGACCAGTCTGATCCAGGTTTGAAAAGTCTCTGTGGTATAGATGAGAGAATAATCAGGATAAGAAGTGGAAGCAAATGATTGATTGATGACGTTGCAAAAACGACACCCAGGATCTGGAAATTAGCTAAACCTGCTGCAGAAAAACTGGAAACAAAAAGCTCAAAGACCGACACGTCGAGCGGCCAACGTTAGCGTTTCTGTTCTTCAGATCACATGAAGCGAATGCATTACTGCGCCCTCCCTCTGCTGCCACTGTTAATGTTTACTTGATTTGTTAATAAAGGTTTACATTCGGAATTTTATCATATAAGGAGGAAGAAGAAGGAATACGGGTCCAAAGGAATGACCCAATTAAATTGGCAACAAGTCACAATAATCAGCTTTGCCCTTAAAAACCTGTGTCACCTGTGCCAAAGGTCAGAGATCATGCTGCCAAGGATGGTGCTGCCAAAGGTCAGAGACGGCGCTGCCAAAGGTCAGAGATCATGCTGCCAAGGATGGTGCTGCCAAAGGTCAGAGACGGCGCTGCCAAAGGTCAGAGATCATGCTGCCAACGGTCAGAGGTG